TTGGCTTTCTCTCTCGGCATTTGGTTTAGTTCCTCGAAGCACAACAGTTGGCTTCCGCGCACAACAAGTGGTATCAGAGCTTGGGCTATACTTGGGCTAGTTAGAGGAGTAGATCACTTTGAAAGTTCGCCTAGGGCTTCAGTTGGTGATAAATGTAGGATTTTTACTATTGTGAATCTTGTCTACCGTCGTGTGGGGGTGAGATCTTTTGGAGGCCCTTGTTAGGGTTTAAGTTGGAGGTAAAAAAAATCTCACTTTTTCAGTATGGATCTATTCTTCGTTTGTTACGTATTAGTTTGTTGGTGTTTTAAGAAAGATGGCCGAGAAAAAATGAGGTACTTCCGACATGAAGACCGTCCAAAGTTTGAATATCTACTCTATCAAGATAGACGTTGAGAAGTTTAATGGCATAAACAATTTTGGTCTTTGGAGATGTGAAGTATTGGATGTGCTCAACGCACAAAATTTGGAGGATACATTAGAGTTGGACGGGAAACCAGACGACATTGAAGAAAAGATTTGAAAGAAGATGAATATAACGATGTATAGTGTGATTAGATCTTGTTTGACTCAAGATTTGAAATATAATGTGATCAATGAGACTTTAGCAGAAAAAATTGGGAGATCCTAGAGAGCAAGTATTTGACCAAGAGTGTGAAAAATCGCTTGCATTTAAAGAGGAAACTTTATTGCTTCCAATTGAAGAAAGGAACCTCCATTGGTGATCACATGAACAACTACACGAAGCTTTTTGTGGATTTGGTGAATGTAGATGTGATGATTGAAGATGAGGACAATGTGTTGTTATTGTTGAGTTCCTTACCCGACGAGAAATATGAGACCTTCGTTCTCGCTTTTATTAGTAGGAAAGTATCTCTTTCGCATAGTGAGATCACCATTGCACTTGTGAATTATCAGCTTCGGAAGAAGGATAAAGAGACTTCAATTGAGCCAGTAGCGGGGGCATTGGTCGCAAGAGTAAAGAATCCAAACCGAGGTAGGAGGTCGCAGTCTAGTGGGCCACATCCTGTAGTTTGTAGGAATCAATATGCTTTTTGTAAAGAGGATGGATATTGGAAAGCCGAATGACCAAAGTTGACAGATCGAGCCGGAAAGAATAAATAAAAAGCTATTTAAGCTTCAGAGGTAAATGTTACCAAGGCTACTGGCGACAATTCAGATTCGAATTCTTCGGGCTATTTGTGCCCTGCACTACCATTAATTTATGTTGCCGACTCTATAGAGTGGATGTTAGATTCGGGTGCTTCTAACCATATTTGCCCTAGGAGGGATTGGTTCTTCAACTTTGAGGAGTTGGAAAGAGGGGATATCGTGCTCATGGATAATGATCATGAATGCCCTATTAGTGGTATTGGTATCATTCGTATTAGGATGTGTGACGGGGTGATTCGGGAGTTAGATGAAGTGAGGTTCGTTCTGCAGTTGAAGAAAAACATCATTTCACTTGAAGTTTTGAAGGTAGCAGGCTATCGGGTGATCTTAGAGGATGCATCTTTGAAGGTCACATTTGGGTCCATGACTCCGATGAAGAGCGTTAGGGGAAAGAATTTATACTATTTGATTAGGAGCATGGTGATTGGTAGAGAGCTTACGAATTTTTTGGATTTGGCTAGACTGTGGCATTTGTTGTGGTTGGGTTATTCGATTATTGGTGTCATGCATGGATTGTTGAGGAGTACTTTGACCTGTAGATTGAAGTCATGTGAGCACATTGGTATGAGCAAGGAGACCGAGGTGGAGTTTGGCACTTCTATTTACCGAGCGAGGGGTCTTCTATGTAGTGTTCATTCAAACATTTGGGGTCTTTCTTAGGAGGCATCATTGGGAGGTAATAGGTATTTGGTTTCCCGTGTTGGAGACTGTTCTAGGTATTTGTGGGTTGAAACCAAGTCCCGTTGATATGAAGTCCTAGAAGTCAACAACAGGTGGAGGAAATGTATTGGCGGAAAGGTAACACGAAGTTCTGTTTTTGGTATGGTTCTTTTCTGTGTTTATGTTGAGCTGATGACAGTTTGGGACACTTCATTTGAGAGGAAACATTGGGGCGACGAGATGAGATAACAATTTTGATGGGTCGTTCCTTACTGGAGAAGGATCGATGTTTGATGTCGAGCATTGTTTTTGGTGTTTGGGCTTCGACATATTTGTGTCATTTTAGTCATAGGTTGCCGACTGCTGTATTTAGAGATTTTGAATATGGTGGAGCTACTTCAGATATTGGGTTGCTTCGGATGTTTGGTCGCTCATCATATGGTCACATCGAGGATGTGAGATTTGACCGAGTGCACATTTAGGATTCAGAGGCATGTTTGATTATTAGATATTGGCTTCTAATTTTGTTCTGAGCAGGTATATCACATTTGACTCTCTGTAGGTGAAGAGTGTTGATCAGATCGTTAGGATATTATAGCAGGTGGAGGGTGATGCTACTCCATATTAGGTGGAGATTACTCCACATACTCCAGATCATACTGCATCATTTGGAATTCCAGCTGAGGTGACACAGTTTGGGGATTATGTTGATTTGTATGCAGATGATGAGTGGGTTGGTTCGAGTGCAGCTGGTCGACATAGTTTGGATTTGGATATGAACGTTGGTTCACCTTAGGTGGAGGTGTTTGGTTCGTCTCACTTTGGGACCATTGGGAGTGCTATCAGCCACAAATTCGTTGGTGATGTTGGAGAAGAGTTGAGAACTCTTCTATTGGATTGAGGGCCTTTGGAGGCCATTGGGTGAACTACGTAAAAGCTTGATTCCTTGGGCAAGAGGATACGTAGGCAGTCATTTATGATGCAGCCGGTTTGGTGAGTTGATACCAATATTTGGAGAGTGATCACATTCTCATTTTGATCTCGACTTGTTGTGGATTGAGTCCGTTGTTGTGGATTTTACCACTTCGTACTGGATGCAACAAGTGAGACATTTGGTTGGTATTGGTGTCGGCTCAGTTTTGGGAAAACTTCGCCAATGTGGAGAATTCTAGATTTGGTAAAGGATTTGGTGAAGAACAAGAATTTTGGATACGGGGAGTTGGTTTTGGAGTTGTTCGGTCGACCGTAGTGCAAGACCGGTCGACCAAATACGTGTACAGATTGTAGGGCTAACTCTGGGCTTGGTGCGATCGACCGTCGCGATCAACCGTCAAACCTTGTAATCAAGACCGAGAGTCTGGAGTTGGGTGCGGTTGACTGTCGCGGTCGATCATCGAACCCTGTAATTGTTTTCTAGGTTATGTCGTTAGTCGCGGTCGACCGCGAGCTTTGGGCGGTCGACCGCCAGTCGGGTTAGGCCCATTTGTCTTCCTGTTCTGATTTGATTTTGTGTTAATATATAATCCTAAACACATTTTAGGGTTTTGGAGGGGAGCTATTGTGGGGATATTTGGAGCACAAAAAAGATGTATTTTCTGGAGCTATTAGTTAGGGTTTTGTTTGAGAGATTAAAAGCTTTGTTGGTGAGATTAATTGGTGAGTTTGAGTGATTTGTAATCTCAGTTTGTACTCTTCTTCTCTATTAGTGAAAACATCATCCCCTTCTTGCTCCGTGGACGTAGGCAACTTGCCGAACCACGTAAAATTGGTGTGTTTGTGTTTGTGCCGTTATTTTGGTTTATTTGGCTTTCTCTCTCGGCGTTCGGTTTGGTTCCTCAAAGCACAACAATTGGCTTTTGCGCACAACAAATGACTGGTACTAAACTCTTGTTCCTAATCGATAGTGATTCAAAACTTTTGAGAATACTAGTGTTTACCATGCGCATACAATGAAATAACTTCATTTTTGTTTTCTAAGTTCTTAAAGAAGCTTTAGTTGAAAAGCCCTATGTCTGGGTGGAAATCTAAAGTTGTGTTTGGCAATCATTTGAAAACAGGAACATAACTGATCATTGACTCAACTTTATACCACCCAGGCTAGGAACAAATAAAGGATGATTTAGTTTAAATGGTTTAGTGGCTCTTTTGGCCTATGAAAAATGAGTCCACGATCAATCATGATCGTATTTTACAAGGTTGGCAAACATGCTCGAGTGTCAATTTTAGCTTAGTTATCTATCAAACATAAAACAATATAACTGGCCCGTAAATACACAATCAATCTGTTGAAATAAATAAATTTTAGAGGGCTTTTATGGAAAAATATTATTTAATGATTGGATTCTATATATGAAAATTAAAATGTGTTTAATAAGTAGAATGTGAGTTTTAGTCCCACATTGGCTAATTAAATGCATTTTAGTTGGTTCAAATTAACACAGGTGGTATATATGTGGCACATGTTGTCTCTAAACGAGCTTAAACGTTTTGCATGTGCTCACTTAAAACCAACTGAATGTTTCGTACGTTACAAACGTTACAATAATTGAATAGGTTTTATTGCAGACGTTACAAACATTGCAATAACTGGAATTCAAATCTTTGTCTCTAATGAACCTTATAAAGGGCTTCTTTTGATCATTTGAAAAATAGAGAAAAACAAAATCTCATGCGTTCTTAATAATTCTATAAGTTGTTAAGTATTGAAGGTTCTGGTAGGCTGAAGAAGTAGTTGTGGTTAGGGGTGAGCACGGTTCGGTTCAAACCGAAAAAACCGACCGAACCGACCCGAACCGACCCGAAAAAGGCGGTTTTAAGAATAAGGCGGTTCGGATCGGTTTGACAACATTTCAAACCAACCCGACCCGAACCGACCGAATCCCAAAACTACCCGTTCGCGTTTTACCCGACCCGTCCCAATTCCCAAACCCTCAAGTCTCTCAACCCTAGCTCTTCGTTTCCTCTCTCATTCCCAAATCCCCCAGCCGCCGCTACTCATCCCAAATCCCTCAGCCTCAATCCCTCTCTCTCGCACTCTCTCACTCTCCTCAGGGCCACGAGTCCAGCAGCCTCGATCCCAGCCGCCGCCTCTCTCACTCTCTCTCACTCTCCTCAGCCACGGTCCGCCCGCCTCTCTCACTCTCCTCAGCCACAGTCTTCAATACTTCATGGATCTAACTCCGCCTCAGAATCAGGCTCCAGATGTACCTCCGGCTTTGGGGGGGACACCCGCACCAGTCAATGTCGCCGAGGCCGAGGTATAACTCTCAGTGATCTCTTTTTTTCTTTCCTCAGCCACAGTCTTCAATACTTCATGGATCTAACTCCGCCTCAGAATCAGGCTCCAGATGTACCTCCAACTTTGGGGGGACACCCGCACCAGTCAATGTCGCCGAGGCCGAGGTATAACTCTCAGTGATCTCTTTTTTTCTTTTGCTCAGGATCTAATCTATTATTCCGCAGTCTTTTAGTTTTTCTTGTGGATCTCGAAACCATGATGCTGGTAGTGGTAATGGATCTAATCTATTTTTCGTTTTTATCCTAAATTTAATAACTCTCAGTGATCTCAATGTGGTTTCCCCTTTGGAAGTCAGCAACAACAAGAAGATGATATAGGGAATGTATGCTATGAAGTGCTTGATGAAAGTTTTATTCTTTCCTCAGTGTTAAAGTTGTTGAATATGGTTTGTTGCGTTCGTTTGCTCCTGCCTAATTCACTGTACAAAGCTGTCATTAGCATTACTTTTGTTGAACTATTTGCTCAGTTGAAACTTGGTGTAGTTTGCTTTCAGTTAATTCTTAATTCACTGTACAAAGTAGTTAATTCTTAATTCACTGCCTAATTCTTAACATGTGGTGTAGTTTGCTTTCAGTTTTGATCTGTGTTTTTGTTGTTGTGTTGTGTGCATATCTCACTTTAGTTTACAATAGTTTGCTTTAGTTTGATTTGGTTCAATTTGGTTCAACCATGATTATAATGCTTACATACATGTTTACAATAGTTTGATTTATGCATATTAGTGTGATAAAAAGTTAAAAACCCTAATTTAGTTGAATTGTTGAAATAATCTGCAGGCTTCTCAAGAGGAGAATCCTAATGTAAATGCAAGTCAAGTTGATTCTAATCAATCTACACAAGTCTCTCAGACTTTGACTAAAAGGAAAGCAATAAAAGAAAGATCGGAGGTATGGGATCATTTTACTAAGTTTAAAGATAAAAATGGTGACCCAAAAGCAAAATGCAAGTATTGTGAAAAAGTGTATTTTGCACATTGTAAAAAAAATGGTACTACAGCTCTTCACAATCACATGGAGTCTTGCAAAAAGCATCCACATAATGTCGACACTCGACAGAAGTTATTAAATTTACAGGCAAATCGTGATTCACAAAGTGGATCTAGTACAAAAATGGGAACCCTTGGTAGTTGGAGTTATGATGAAGGAGCCATAAGAAAAGCCCTCAATTATTTTGTCATTTTGGACGAGCTTCCATTCAAGTTAGTAGAGGGTTTAGGGTTTAAAAATTTTATGTCAACCGCTTGCCCTAGATTTCATATTCCTTCTCGTTGGACAATCCAAAGAGATTGCTATGAAATTTACCTTGAAGAAAAAAAAATTTGAAGAATTTATTGAAAGCTACATGTCAGAGGGTGTGTCTAACAACCGATACTTGGACTTCCATTCAAAATATTAATTATATGTGTTTAACGGCACACTGGATTGACAATGATTGGAAATTGAACAAAAGAATAATAAACTTTTGTCCTATTTCAAGTCATAAAGGAGATGATCTTGGGAAGGTGGTCGAGAAGTGTTTACTAGATTGGGAAATTGAGAATGTTTTCACCATCACGGTTGATAATGCTAGTTCAAATGATACCATGATTACATACTTAAAAAAGAGGTTCAACAATTGGGGAGGCACAATGTTGGGTGGGAAATATCTTCATATGAGATGCATTGCTCATATTGTTAATCTTATTGTTAGTGATGGGCTCAAAGGTTTGGGGGATTCCGTTGCTCGTGTTCGTTCCGCGGTGAGATATGTGAGGCAATCTCCATCTAGATTAGCTAAATTCAAAACTTGCATTGAACTAGAAAAAATTGAATTTGGTTCATCTTTATGTTTGGATGTATGCACTAGATGGAATTCCACTTATTTGATGTTGAACATTGCTCAAAAATATGAAAAAGCTTTTGAAAGATATGGTGAAGAGGATCCCTTCTTTAGATTTGAACTAAGTAATGGAAATGGAGCTCATGGAATGCCATTGGAGGATGATTGGGTTAATGTGAGAAGGTTATGCATTTTGCTTGAAAAATTTTACAAGCTAACATTACTTGTTTCAGGTTCCTCATATGTGACAAGTAATTTTTTTCTTCAAGAAATTGGTAATGTTGCTTGTGATTTGCAAAAATGGAGATTGTCTGAAGATGCATTATATGCTAGAATTGCTAATAAAATGACAGATAAATATGAGAAGTATTGGGGAAGTTGGGAGAAGACGAACATGTTGATTTACATTGCGGCGCTTCTAGATCCACGAAATAAAGAAGATTTTGTGACTTTTATTCTTGAGCTTACATATGGTGAGAAAGAAAGTGTTGATAAGTTAAAATTCATCAAAGATGCCGCATTTGCATTATTCAATGACTACAAGATTAAATATGGAACTGAAATAAATGCAAGTGAGCAATCAATTGGTGCTTCATCTAATAATATTGACAGTGGTGATGTTAATCAAATAACCGATGTAAGAAGTCAGTTTAAAAGGTTGAAAGCCGCAAAAGGAAGTGTCGAAGCAAAATCAGAGTTGGAAAAATTTCTAAGCGAGGATGTTGAAGCCGATCAAAGTAACTTTGATATTTTAGCTTATTGGAAAGTTAATAGTGCAAGGTTCCCAATTCTCTCTCGGATGGTTCGTGATGTATTAGCTATTCCAATCTCCACAGTTGCTTCTGAATCTGCTTTTAGTACAGGTGGCCGAGTACTTGATCCATTTAGGAGCTCATTGACTCCGAGAATGGTACAAAGCCTAGTATGCACTTCTGATTGGCTTCGAAACTTGTTGGCTACGCCGGGTTCGAGCAAAATTTGATTTGAAGAAGATTTGGATGCTCTTGAGAAGTTAGACATAGGTATTTACCATTTATGTTTTTGTATGTTAAATGATTTGATTTTTATTAACTTTTTATTTGTTTATCTTTCAGATTTGGGCAAGCTTTCAATTGAACTGACAATCACAGATTTGTAAGAGCTTTCATGGAAGAACACAGGTAAAAAAAAAGTTGTGATCTTTATGAATTCAAGTGTCTCCATAATATTACATGAAGGTTGCAATTCTCCTCAACTTACTATGAGTTTTGAGTGGAGAAAATCTGAATATGCTTTAAAGTAATTTTCTTGCTATATATAATGTTCTGATCTAGCTCTTGGTATATGCAGTTCAGTTCATGAATATGCTTTAAAGTAACTTTCATGGAGTAATTTTCTTGTATATTGCTTTTGAATTAAAAGGGATGAGAAGTATCGGCCTCAGATTACTATAAAACTTAAGTCCCTTGTATTACAACAACAATAATCCTCTCCTTGTGCTCACAGCTCATCATCCATAGACTTTATCCTCTCGTGCATTTTAATATATAAATTTCTCTTGTTGTATGTAGATCAGAAGCAACCACATTCTTTTTTTTAGAAAGAAGTGGAAAATAGTTTATCATGAACACCATTATAATGAAAAAAACATATCTAGAGTACACCACAAGCAAGCATAACATACAATTCTGGACTGTTTGTTTACGCAAGGAGCCTCAAAATCTTGAAATCTTTTCTACAAAACCTAAAGTAAATGTAGAAATTCTCAATTCCTTTTTTAACCGATACTTCGCTCACGTCCCTAGCCAGGCCTATAATTATACAAGAAAATTCTCAACTTTAAGAACAACATTGTGATTTACATTTTGTACTTGACTGCAGGATCTCGGCTCATGGTGCTTCATCGGCACGGTTGCAGACATGCTGTACCTCGTTCTGTGATTTACACTTTGGCCGTGATTTACATTTTGTACCTCGTTCTGTGATTGTTTTCTTCTATTTACAGTTTTCATGTTAGTATGAGTATGTAAACTTTAACTCTACATTCCTGTTGTTGATGTACTGATGTCTTCTCTGTGATTCCTGTTGACTGTATTTTTGATACCTCAGTTGTATGTTGCCTCAAGTTAGAAGTGTTGTAAATCACATTTTGTACCGAAGTGTATTCCTGTGATTCCTGTTGACAATGTATTTTTTGATACCTTAGTTGTATGTTCCCACTTGCTTCTATATTCAATTGGTGCTTATTTCATTTGCTGCTTTGTTTATTTGCTTGGATGCTTGGATATAAACTTTTGGGACGAGCAATATTTGTACATTTGAATGTTATACTTGATGTAGGTTAGAACCGAACAAACCGAACCGAACCGCACCGAACCGATTTGTAACGGTTCGGTTCGGTTTTGAATTATAGGTGGTTCGGTTCGGTTGTTCAAATTTTGGTAAAAACCGACCCGACCCGAACCGTGCTCACCCCTAGTTGTGGTGTTCACGAGAAGAGAACGCTTCTTTGGACTGTAACCGTCTCATCCTCGGAAGTACTGTGCATACCCAACGCTACCGTAGGTGCGGCATAGTTTCTTCAAGGCCAGTCCTCTGTTAAAAGAGCGATTCGACACTTCTGTAAAGTATCTCAAACTTGAAGTGTATCTAATATAATGTTTCTAACTTTCTACTCTTTTCTTTCTTTCTTGTATAGTTTGTTCGGTAATACTTTAAAACTGTTTTTATGCTTATTTTTTCCAACACAATCTTGGCCAACACTCAATCAAATATCAAAATATAAAAATTGTACTTTCTTAGTCAGTTTTTTTTTTTTTTTGGTTAATACTTTCTTAGTCAGTTGGTCGTGACGAAAGAGCTGAGCACCTCATTTGTGTGCCTACATTATGCATACTGAAAAAAGAAATATCCGCATCTATCTAAGAATTTTCTATTTTAGTTTCTTACCAAATTGTGGCTGTGGATGCTTGGTCTTGCTCCTATATATTGACCTAATACAAGTCTTGCTAGTTTCTATGATTTGTCTCTTTGCTCGCTGCTGCTTCCAACTCCATCAAATTCAATGGATGCTTTTATTAATATAAATAGGAGACGTATCGATCGAATTTTATCAATATAAATATGAGACGTATCACCTTGGCTCGGAACAAAGAACCAAGCAAGATCTTTCGTGATCAAGACTTGATGATGTGAACGCGTGAAAGAAGCGCAGAGCAAAGCAAACGAGAAGGGGGGCCACCACGTGAATGAGCTGGAGACAAAGTGTACTTTAGCAGGCCCACCCGATTACTGTTGCGGTCCTATAAATAATAACGTGATTCCTAGGGTTTCGGTGGGCGTGCAAGGCTAAGTGCAGCAGGGGGAGAACTTGGGAATTGCGGCAGTGTTTTTTTTCTCTTGGTTACAGCTTTGGCTGTGAGCAAGCAAAAGGGAGAATTAATTGGCGGCTGCAGTAGTGCAAATTTGAGGAGGTGCAAAAGTGTTGGCAGCGTTCTTTTTGGACGACGTGCAAAGAGTCCTTTTATGCTTTTGAGAGATATAATTGTGTGAGGGTTTAGATTGAGTGATTGTAAACCCTAGTTGTATTATCTCTCCCTCTAATAATAGATCTCCCCCTCCTTGCCCCGTGGACGTAGGCAGTTTGCCGAACCACGTAAAATTGGTTGTTTGAGTTTGTGGCCATTGTAATAGTTTTTAGGATCCCTCGACGCGCAGTCCTAGAGCTGACGAGAGGAAGAGCTAATAACCCACTTTGATGGGATATTAGGCTTCAGATTCTTGTTCCCTTTGAGAAACAAGAATTCTTATCGATCTTTCTCTCTTATTGTGCACCAGAAACTCTGCCGAAATTTCTGCTGCGCACAACAAGTGGTATCAGAGCCCAGATTTCAGATCTAGGGTTTGGTTGGAGGAGTAGATCAATTTGGAGGCTCGTTTAGGGCTTCGTTGGTGATAAAGGTGGGATCTTTTGGTAAAGACTCTATCTTTTAGTTTTGGATCTATTCTTTGTTCGTTGGTGCATAAGATGTCGGGGAAAGAAGGTGCTTCGGGTGTCGAGGGTGGTTCTTCTGGCGCGAAGACCATTTAGAGTTTGAATATCCACTCTATGAAGATAGATGTGGAGAAATTTAATGGCACAAACAACTTTGGATTATGGAGATGCGAGGTTTTGGATGCGCTGAACGTACAGAATTTGGAGGATACATTGGAGTTAGATGGCAAGCCAGATGAGATTGAAGAGAATGTTTGGAAAAAGATGAATCGAACGGCGTGTGGTGTGATTAGGTCTTGTTTGACTCAAGATCTAAAATATGATGTGATGAATGAGACTTCTGCAAAGAAGATTTGGGAGATTCTCGAAAGCAAGTATTTGACCAAGAGTGTGGAAAATCGCTTGCATTTGAAGAGGAGACTTTATCGTTTCCAGTTGAAGAAGGGAACCTCCATTAGAGATCACATGAACCACTACACAAAGCTTCTTGCGGATTTGGCGAATGTGGATGTCAAGATTGAAGATGAGGACAAGGCGTTGCTGTTGTTGAGTTCCTTGCCCGACGAGGAATATTCCCTTTCGTATAGTGAGGTCACTGCTGCATTAGTGAATTATCAGCTTCGGAAGAAGGATAATGAGACTTCGATTGAGCCGATAGCAGAGGCGTTGGCCGCAAAAGGGAAGAATTCGAACCGGAAGAATTAGAAATCACGGTCTAGAGTAGGGCATCCTACAATTGGAAAAGATCAGTGTGCTTGGTGCAAGGAGACTGGTCATTGGAAGAAAGACTGCCCAAAGCTCGACGAATGGATGAAGAATAAGCAGAAGAGAAAAGGGAAGCAACCATCATCAGAAGCAAACATCGTATCGGATGGTAATAATTCTGACTCTTCTATTTATTCGCTTTCTATCAGTCCTACTGATATCTATTCGGAGGAATCTGAATGGATGTTGGATAGTGGTGCGACCTATCATGTGTGCCCTAGAAGGGAATGGTTCTCCAGTTTTGAGAAGCTGGTGGATAGTGGTGTGGTGTACATGGCTGATAACCGTGCATGCCAGATCCTTGGGATAGGAAGAATTCGCAGATGTGAGATATGTTCCTTCTTTGAGAAAGAACTTGATCTCGATTGGAGCTTTGGTTGGAGAGGGTCTGAAGGTTCGTGTTGAGGACATGGTTCTCGAGATTGCAAGAGACTCTCATATTTTGATGAAGGGCGTCAGGAGAAATAACCTGTATTACTTGACTGGAGATATAGTGGCAGGTGGAGAGCTGACGACTTCTGTTGATTCGACTAGACTACGACATTTAGGGCTTGACCATTCCAGTATTGATTCCTCGCATAGATTGAAAGAGAGTGCAAAGACCTGCAGTTTGAAGTCCAGTGAACATGTTGATGTGAGCAAGAAGACCGAGGTGAAGTGTGGCACCTCTATTCACCGTGCTAAGGGTCGTTCTGGAGGAGTTCACGTGGATGTTTGGGGGCCTTCCAAGGGGGCATCATTGGGAGGTAATAGGCGTTTGGTTTCCTTTGTTTGTGGCTGTTCTAGGCGTGTTTGGGTTGTAACCAAATCCCCTATGGATAAAGTCCTAGTAGTCTCCAACAGATTGAAGAAGTGTGATATTGGCAGAAAGGTGAAGGTACTCCATTCTGGTGGGAGGTACAAGATGGACCTGTTTCTGCATTGGAGCCGAGCTCACGGCATTGCGAGACACTTCGTTGGGAAGGAAATCTTGGGGCAACTAGATAAGATGACAAATTTGGAGAACCGTGCCTTGCTGGAGGAGGATCGGTGTTTGTGGTCGAGCAATGGTTTGCAGAAGAGTTTTTGGCCAGAGGCTTCGACATATTTGGGTCATCCTATTAAAGAGTTGTCAACTGCTGTGATTGGAGGTAAAACTCCATTAGAAGATAGGTCTGATAATGTCACTTTGGTTGAGGCTTCGATGAGGGAGCCAATTGACTCTCAGCAGGTGGAGAGTTTTGGACAGACCTTAGATGTATCGC